TATATTTACTTTATCATTTTCTATCTTTCTACACATATACACATGTACACACACACCCCATATATTATTAATTTAAACTATTTGATAAAATTTACAGAGAACTATACATATAAATTCTTCAGTATCCTAAAAATAAGGATATCCACTCGTATAACTATACCACAATTATTAAATTAATGAAATTTGACCTTGATACAATCTGTGTGTATGTGTGTGTGTGCAAGTATTGTGGTGATTGATTCCAGGGCTTCATATATGCTAGGCAAGGGCTTTAGCAATGAGCTATAAAGCCCAACATACTCTTTTGTATGATATACATATTCAGATTTTACCAACTGTCTCAATAGTGTCCTTTGTAGCAGCTCTTTTCCCTCCACCTAGCATTCAATTCAAGATTACATTTAGTATTTGTCAATCTTTTTGGTTTTGTTTGTTTGCTTGTTTTTGGTACTGGAGATTGAACCCAGGGATACTTTATCACTGAGCTACAATTCCAGACCTTTTTATTTTGAGGTAGGATCTTGCTAAGTAATTTAGGGCTTTGTTTAGTTGTTGAGCCTGGCCTTGAACTTAAAATCCTCCTGCCTCAGCCTCCTGAGTTGCTGGATGTGTGCCACTGCACCCAGCTTTTATATATATTTTTTAGTTGTAGATGGACACAATACCTTTATTTTATTTATTTTTTATATGGTGCTGAAGATTAAACCCAGTACCTCACATGAACTAGGAAAGCACTGTACCACTGAGCATTGCAAACAACAACAAAACAATCAACTTCTTTAATCTTACTTATTTCTACTGAATGTATGAAATTTTTAATATTTATTTTTAGGTGGACACAATATCTTTATTTTATTTCTGTGTGGTGTTGAGGATTGAACCCAGTACCTCATGCATGCTAGGCAAGCACTTTACCAATAAGCCACAATCCTAGCCTGTAGCTCAATTTTTTAAAGTAAGTCCTACTACATATGATTATTTTTTTTTAATTTTTTCAATATTTATTTTTTAGTTTTCGGTGGACACAATATCTTTGTTTTTGTATGTGGTGCTGAAGATCGAACCCAGGCCGCACGCATGCCAGGGGAGCGCGCTACCGCTTGAGCCACATCCCCAGCCCTACATATGATTATTTTTTTTTGTGGTGGGGAGTGAACCAAGAGACATTTAACCACTGAGCCACATCCCCAGTCCTTTTTTGAATTTTATTTAGAGACAGGGTCTCACTGAATTGCTTAGGGTCTCATTTAAGTTGCTAAGGCTAGATGTGAACTTGTGATCTTCCTGCTTCAGCCTCCCAAGTTGCTGGGATTACAGACTTGTGCCACAATGCCCAGACATGACTAGATTGAATGATTAAAATATCTGAGTCTAAATATTTTAGCCCAAATTATTTTCCAAATAATATAATATTTTGATGCAGTCATAATGGTTCAAGCTAATTGGGCAATCTTACTTTAAACTCAGAAAATCTTTAGCTCCAAAACCAGCAAATATAATTCTCCAAATCTACCTAACCTAATGCAGAAACAAAGAACCCACAAGTCTATCTGTGGATTATTTTAATTTAGCTACTATCAACTCTGGAACAATAACAAAATATTTACCTTCAACAGATACCACCAAACTCTATTTATATTGTCTGCTTCAAAAGTTGGAACTAGTTATTACAGTGCACTTGTTTAGTCCAGTATACATTTATTGAGCATTTATTATGTGTCAGGCACTGTGGTAGATTTTGGGAATATTCAGGTGAATTGACAGTCTCTGCCTTCAAGAATGAACATTTAAAGTTATGGATACATATACATACAGAGAACATATGAAAATTCTACGTAATAGGTGGAAAGAAGTATGCCTAAGATACCATAGGAACACTAGAAGAGCAGGACTGATATGGGAATGGGTATGATATGGAATATCAGGGCAGGTTTGTTGATATAGTGTGACCTGAAGATATCTTAAAAGCCAGGTTGGGGACATAGTTTAGTTGGTACAGTGCTTGCCTCGCATGCATAAGGCCCTGGGTTCTATTCTCAGCATCACATACACACACACACACACACACAAAAAAAAAAAAAAAAGTAAAGGGCCAGGTGCAGTGTTACATGCCTATCATCTCAGCAACTCAGGATACTGAGGCAGGAGGATCACAGGTTTGAGGCCAACCTCAGTAACTTAGTGAAATTCTCAGCAAATTATCAAGACCCTGTCTTAAAGTACAGAAAGGGCTGGGGATGTAACTCAGTGGTAGAGTGCCCCTGGGTTCAATCCCAAGTATTAAAAAAAAAAAAAAAAAGTGAGAGGCTGGGGATGTAGCTCAGTGGCAGAGTACTTGCCTAGCATGCATGAGGACCTCGGTATGATCCTCAGCACTGGAGGGGTGGGGTGGGGGATGCCATAGCTGAGATGCTGCACTGTGCAGGCATGAAAATAAGTATATGCATGTAGAGCAAGTGAGCAGCACAGCTGAGCAGTGGGGAAGGGGCGCTTTACCACTGAGCTATGTCCCCAGTTCTTTTTTTCATTTTGAGATAGGGTCTAATTTGCTGAGGGTTTTTGCTAAATCACTGAGGCAATCGTGAGTTCGTGATCATCCTGCCTCAGCCTCTGGACCTTTTTGGAATAGAGGCAAGAGCCACTGTACCCAGCTTCAGACTTCCTAACCCTTTCAGGGAGCTTGAATTTATAACCTTGTAGATAAGCCTTTGGTTAATAAATATTAAATACAGAAAGCTCATCAAATCTATTATTTCTAAATACTCTATTGACCGGGAATGTAGCTCAGTAGTAGAGTACAAGCTTACTATGCTTGAAGCTCTAGGTTGAGTCCCTGACACCAAAAATTAATAATAATTGAGACATTTTATTAAGTAAGGGTTTGTGGTCAGGAACAAGACTGTGGGCAGGAAAACTGTCCAGAGATGAGGAGGTAGCCTTCAAAAAGTGATTAGAACACCAAATTGGCAGCAACTGGAGATACACTGGGTGTGGGATGAGGGAGAAGTAGGCTATCATAGTTAATGGTGCCAACAAACAAGATGAAAAGTTCAGAAGAATGTTCTGTTTGAGGGAGGTGGGGAGTAGAGTGCAGAATGGAAGGAGAATTAGTTATTTTTGATCTGTTGAGCAGAAGGCACCCGTAGGACATTCAAGTGGAGATGTCTAGTTGGAAATTCTGGGAAAGGAGCTAAAGTTTAGATAATATCAGCAAATAAGTGGGAACCAATAGGTAAATATGTGAAATTGCCTAGGATGAATGAGCAGAGTGCAATGCCAACTATTGACACCCAACAATATACCAACATTTAAGGAAACAGGTGGAGGTAGAGAAGTTTGAGCAGACTTTAGATAGATACTAAAAGAAAAATGACATGGTGATGTAGTGTTCCTCTACAAGATTATTGTTAGAATCTCTGTCCTTGACCATTGTGTTTTAAAGATAATTTGTTGGCTGGGGTACTTGTAGCTCAGTGTACAGTGCTTCCCTGGGTTCAATCCCCAGTTCCACAAAAAGAAAAAAATAAATCTGTTTTGTAGTATCCCTTGTCTAGAAAACGAAACTCTGTTATCAATCTACTCAAAAGATTTAATTTCTGCCTTCTGAAACCCTACAAATCATCACAATCTGAAGGCAGCTAACATGACCAACTCAAAGTCTCTTCTTAAAACATTTCCCAATTCTTTCAATTGGTCACACTGCACAGCAAACCCTCCTCTGGCAGTATTTTCACTTGTGTGCTGTACAGAAGTTACTACTTTCCTTGTTCTGAAGACTACAATTGTATTAAGGCAAACTAAAGCTAAATTAATTTATGAGCAGCCAAGTTACACCATTAGCTGTTTGGATACATAGTTAGGAATACTGCTTCCTACCCCAACATAAACACGAAGCCAACCCTTCTTCTCCAAGCCTGTACTTCCATGGTTGATTTTTGTTTAGCCTAATGATAGGTTTCACACTTTCATTCATAGGAAAAGTTGTCTTCTTGTGCTTTTCATCATGGTACACAAAATGGCCAGGACACCTGATAATGGAAAAAATAGACAATATGTAGCAACCATCAGGCCAGGGTGAACATCAATAATGGACCCTTAAGGAGCTCCAAACCTACAGAGATGTTTTGATCTAGCTACAGGCTTCTGGTTCCAGTCTCGAACTCCACGATTAATAAGGAAAAAGATTAAAGTGGAGCATTAGGTAATGACTTTGGTTAATTCTAATCTGGAATTGCCTGTTGATTAGAACTGATTTCCATTCTCTTCTGAAATCTATGGATAATGATGAGTTTATTTCTTCAGTGACATAGGACAAGGTCTCAAGTCAACCCTGAAAGATGGTAAATATCAAACCAATGGAAAATTCTCACAGAAGAGATGAGGCATAGAAGTCAACCTCAGAAAGACAGCATTGCCATATGGTGCCTGCAGCTGAAGGCTAAGGACATGAACTCATATAGAGACCAGCTGCTCAGTTTGTTTCCCAAAGGAGGGGGGATTGTCATGAGTCTAACCTTTGTAAAGCCAAGTATCAGATTTACTCTATAGTTCCCTCATCTTTGAGCATCTTCCTATTTGTATCCTGTTGATAGAGAGGGTCTGACTATTCAAGTGTATCTGCTGGAGCCAAAATATGAGGGTTTGGATCTTGGTTCCACCATTTGTTGGGCCTTGTTACTTTCAGCAAAGTTAACCTATCCGTAAAATGGGAGTTAATAACAGGATATATCTCAAGAGTTGTGAGGAAAAAAACACATCAACATATATAAATCATTAAAAATTGTTAGATATTATTTCTTTAGTATTCCTTGGCCTTCAGTCAGTTGCTATGGTATGTATAAGTCCACTATTGTTTGGCCTGCCCAGTCCCATGTATCAGGACTGAGCAAGCTGTTAGCATGTAGATGACTTCTTAAGAGGACAGTGTTAAAGATGTAAGCAACATGGAAAAAAACAAGTTTTATGGCTCCAAATTTCTACTAATTGGGAAGACAAGGCAATTTCCTCCTGCATACACTTTATTCACGCATGCTAAGTCTCACTAAACATATCACACAGTGGTCAGGAAAATGGCTGACGGGCAGTTAGGGTGTCAAGGTAATCCTCATTTCTGGCCTTGTTTTGCACCCAGATAAATGAACAGCCAGAAGCAAGACTAGAGTGAAGGGGGTAAGGGTGAGGAGGGGAAAACACACAGTGTGGGAGGCAGCTCACAGTGAGGCAGGCAGGCAAGCAGGCAGCAGTTCTAGCCAATCAACACTTTATTTTTCCAAATGACACCTGCATAGATGTTACTATCTACCTCCTGACCCCAATGGGGTCCCATCCATGGCCCAGAGGAGCAGGTTTCCTTCTTCCACCCTAGGACAGCAAGGAAGCCTCTTGTCTCAATAAGACAAGAGCACATGTTTACCATCCAGCACTGACACCTGTGCTGTGGGACCCTGCTCTCCTGCATCATGAAAAGGCTGAACTAGGGCAAGGGTACAGTGGAGCTTTTAGAGACTGCAGCAACCTAAATGCAGAACTACTTGCCTTTCCCATCACTCCAGGATTACTCTTTACCTCCCAGACCAGGAGCCACACTAAAGCTTGGCCAGTATCTGTGGGAAGGAGATGTCAAAGGATTGCACTGCTAAGGACAGGACACAGCAAGGAAACAAAGCTGAGGGGAATGCAGGACAGGAGAGAAAAATCATAAAGTGCCTGAACTAAACAACCAAGTGGGACATGAGGGCACAGCAGCACAGGTCCCTGAGGATAGGAGGAAAAAAGGGCTAGACCACCAGGGCTTGGGACATAGTGGAATGAAAATAGAAATGAGGCAGGGAGGCAAGTGCAGGCTGTGGGAAGGACTTCCCTAGCCTGTACACATCCACTAACCCAAATGAAAAATTATTTACAGACTTAAAATCCGTCCCAGACACAGGTGCTGCACCAAGCCTAGGACAGCAGGCAGGCAGGCAGAAGGTAGACTGGTTACCAACTGATAGCCAGCTTCCCCACACACTGCCCCACCCTAGAGTGGTAGGGAAACACCTCAAGCCAGGAAGCCCACTGTGCCTGTAGCTCTTTCCCCATGGCTCATGGCTCTACCATGGCCTGTGCCTCTTGGTCTGACTGTACCAAAGAATGGGTATCTGGCCCCAAGGGAGGAGGGGGTGGAGCATCAGGGGGCTCTGGGTGTATCTCTGGCCCCAAGCCCAGCTCTGCATTCAGTTGCTCCAACTCCCCCTGATCCAGCAATTCAAAGTCCTCAGTGGCAAGTGCCTCCTCTTCCTCAGGGGCAGGCAGGGGTTGGGGTGAGTCCTGGGGAAGAGGAGGGAGCATGGAGGGGGAAGGGAAGGGGACTGGGTCACTTTCAACAAGGCAAAGTGGGGGTGACAGGGTGCTGGGCGGAGCTGTGAGGTCACCACTCACTGCCTCTGGGCTCAGCGTCTCCACTGGTCCTCCAGGGGAGCACTTCACTTCATCCTGGGGGGACCCTGCCCCATTGAAGTGCGTGTTCACAAAGTGAAGAGGGGATGACAGCCGAAGCAAGGTTTCCTTGGCTGCTACATCTTCCTCCCCTTCCTCCAAGTCCAGGGCTTGCCTTAAGGGAGCTGGTGGGGTGCCTAGCAGATCTTCAGGAGGGGCCAGCTCTGCCTCCTCTCCTTCTCCCAGCTCCCGGCTCAGGGCCTCCTCTGGCTCACTCGGCAGGCTCTGCTGGTCCAAGTCTGAGCAGAGAAAAAGTTAGAAATGGGGCTGTTACTCTGACCACAACAGTCAAAAGTTCAAGGACACAAACTTAAAAAATGGATGCTAGGCCAGGGATTATGTTAAGATCTTTCGGACCTTAAATCAGAGGGTCCGTTACCCAGAGGAAATATGATTTGTGGGAAGCCAGAGAGCACAACCAGCACCCCATGGAATGAAAAAAGGAAGATCAAGAGAGGCAAAAGGCTTCCCATACCTTCAGAGACATCTGTCAACTGTGGAGTAGTGGCCCGTGATACAGAGAAGCCACCACTCTCCAAGATAGAGGCCTCCTCATCTGACAGCTCTGAATCTGTAATGGCCAAGGCCAGTGCTGTTTTCTTCACATCCACCTGCAGGAAAATCAGGATGAACACAACAATGGGATAAGAGCACCGTGCTCCCAAACTGTAGGGTTCCCACCTCCTTGAGAGGTGGCAGTTCTAAAGCATACAGATTTCCCCAGCCTTCTATTTGACATCCCCATCTCCCCTGGACCTCACCACTGGGGAGAAGCCAGCCAGCTCTGCCTCGCTTTCACTCTCTGTTTCTGCCAGTGGCTCATCACCTCCTGGGGGTGCGTTCTTCCCTTGCCGCTCTAGAGAAGAGCAATAAGGCAGTGTCCAAGCAAGGACAATAATGGGGGACAAACATGGCCAAGGAACTGGAGATGATCTAAATTCCAGGGCATTTCAAGCCATAATCCAGGTCCTCCCCCCTTCACCCTCCTGGATTGAGAGAGTCCCTTACTCCTCTTGTCATGTTTGTGATGCAGGGCATCAGCTTCCGCCTTCATGCTGTAGTCCAGCTGCATGAGCAAGGGCTCCAGGCGAGTGTACATCCTCTGGATCAGCTCATGATAAACCACCAGGGGCCACAGCAGGATACTCAGCACTATGGGTTAGAAAGTTCACTCAGAGTTCTCTAGGCCAATTTCCTAGACAGCCTTCATTCAGCTGGTCTCTAAGTAAGAAGAGCTGAAGGAATCCTGGTCCTTTCCCAAGTAGTGCTACCCTTTTTGCCCTAAATCTACTGTCTTCCTCCTTAAACAACTCTTCTACTATAAATAGAAATGCTCTATAGCATCCCTGGAAACCTCCACCCATGGGGAACTGAACAAAGAAAACATAGTCCTCCCGCTAGGTTGGTCTGTGGAAAGAAAAGAAGAAGGCTATGGGAAGGGCAGGGCTGGCCCTTACTCACAGACAATGTAGGAAATCATAATCCCTGGAACATAGTGTCCCAGCACAGCCAGCACAGCACAGCCAGAGCAGACTCGCGCACAGAACTGCAGAGAAGAATACAAGGTCTATGAAGATGAGTTTGCTGAGCTTTGTGCCCAACTCATGTAGGTTAACAAACTACTGCTCAGCTGTGACAGAATGGGTATTTCCACTAGAAGTTCAGTGATCCAGTCTAGTCAACACGATGCCCATGAGAATCAATTAAGGAGATTTACAGCAATAGCTCACAACACTTCTGCTCTACCCTACCCTCACCTTCAAAAAACCATTACAGGGTGTGGGGAAAGTTACCTGAGCTGGATTCTGCCTCTTATACTGCAGCAGCTCTTGCAGGTGAATCTGGAAGGTGAGCCAGCTCTCAGCCAGGTATCTGCATAACTCGGGCACACTCAGCAGGTGCGGCCGGGCGCCTGACCCCGCACCCTCACTGGAGAGACATGACATGACCCCTAGAGGCCTCAGACACCAGTTTCCTAGGTATTCAATTCCCTCTAAGACTGCTGATGAGATCTTCACTCTAAGGAAGTTAAAAAAAAAAAAAAAAACAAAAACCAAAACCCACCTCCCGAAGGGTATAAGAAAAGCACAGGGTACCCAACCCTGTGTCAAAAGCAGCAGTTGTACAAACACCAACACAGGAGCCTAGAACCAAGAAAACTCCAGCCTATTGTCAGTCCCTTCACTTGGCTGGGGCTGTGCCTGTAGAAGCTGCAGCACTGCTCTTCTTTGTGGTGACATCAGCATCAAGAAGTAGACTGTCTTCAGGAGACGGTCTGTACTCACCTGTCAGAGTGTGGTTCCTCAGGGGATGATGCTATGGAGAAAGAAAGGTGACAAATTATTAAGTGGTAGAGGCACTGGCAGACACTCCCCAGGCAGAAATAGTTATCCTCCTCTGCAATCCCAGAAAACTTTCTTCAAATACTAACTGCAGTAGGTATTACACATTGCTCTATGTCCTTTTTTAAACTTTACCCTTTAAACACAGACACCACATCTTATTGTTGTTCATATCCCACACAATTCACACAGCCTGACACCTCTTGCTCCAAAATGCACATTAATTATATAAAAAACCCCCAACAAACTAGTACAAATAGCGTAAGTTAAACACTACCATAATCATGCATCGTGTGTTGACTCATTTAATCCTTATCTTGTTACGATGTTAAATTCTATCATCCCTACTTCAGAGATAAGAAAACTGAGACAGAAATTGAGACTATTTACAAGGTTATACACATGTAAGTGCTACTGAGATGGGCATGAAACCCAGGCAAGCTGGCTGCAAAATCCACTTTTTTTTTTAAAGAGAGAGTGAGAGAGGGAGAGAGAGAGAGAGAGAGAGAGAGAGAGAGAGAATTTTAATATTTTATTTTTTAGTTATCGGCAGACACAACATCTTTGTTTGTATGTGGTGTTGAGGATCGCACGCATGCCAGGTGAGCGCACTACCGCTTGACCACATCCCCAGCCCTGCAAAATCCACTCTTAACCACTACATCCACAGACACATCAATTTTGGGAAATGCCTGCTATATGTTACCTTCATCCCCATTCAGGAGATCAAGCACAAAGCAAGCACGCAAATAAACAGGTGCTTGCCCAATGAGGAACCACTCACCTGAAACATCAGGGAGGAAGCGAGGTTGCCAGAGATCCAGCAGAAAGTAGGCCAAAAGTGAGATGCTGAGTAGGAAGAAAGGCCGGAGGGACGATGAGGACAGCAACCTTTGAGAGAGAGAAGCACCCCACGGGGAGTGGGTGAGAGTGGCTCCTGCGTTCATCGCTAAAGGCGGAAAAGCGCCCACAGATGCGGGTACAGCACTTGCAGGCCTAACTCGCCACCCAGAGATAGAGGAATGCAGCAACCCAGGCGGACGTCAGCCTTCAAAACCTGGGGGATGGATCATTTCCCCAGGCCAAGTGACAACCCAGAAAGAAGAAAGGTGCTCCTGGTCCCTTCCGCCCCCGCTCTCCCGCGCAGCCCGGCCCCGCCCCCCTCCTCCGCGGCCGTTACCAGAAGAGGCCGTTGAGCGCGGCCGCCGTGACCAGGCTGTGCAGCGGCTTTTCCCACACCAGCAGCCGCTGCGCCGCCGCCAGCACTGCCTCCCAGCCGCGGAGCCGCAGCCACAGTGTCGTGGCCAGGCGTCCCACCGCCTCGGCCGTGGCCGCCTCCTCCTCCGCCTCGCAGGTGGCCTCACCCATGCCGAGGCTCAGACCTAGGCCCAGGCCCAGCCCCGGGCCCCC